CTTCTTTCAAGAAAATTACCATATAAGGAAATTTTCAAGAAATCAGTGGTGAACGGGTGAGAGTTTTTTTTTTTTGTTTAATCAAATTATTTTAATTACAATATTAATTAATATATATAATTTTATGATTTTTTTTTTAAAATAAATTTATTTTATATTAAAAATATTTTTGTTATATATTTTAATTTTAATTATTTAATGAACTTTAAAAAGTATTGAACTGATATTAACTGGTATCAAAATAGTATTAATTTATAGTAAATTTAATATATAAATTATAACTTACTTATATAAATTTATAATAAATTTAAGTATCAAATTGATATTAAAGTGGTATTGAAATAATATCACTAAAAATTCTATTATTTGAATTATAATTATAATAAAATTTATATAAACTACTAATTAAAACAATATAATATATAATTGATATTTTATATAGATTTCAATAATAGATTTATTAATATTTTTTATTTTTTATTTTTTATTTTTTTTAAGGCTAAGTTGTGATACACATATGGATTTTATTGATGTTTTAGTTATGATCAGATTTATATCTATTTGTTTTATAACATATATTAGTAATAATAATAATAATAAAATAATATATAAATGAATTTTTAATAAAATGTTTTTTTTTCTTTTTACTTTTTTTTTACTTTTCTTTTTTAGTACAATTATTGAAATTTATTAAATATAAATAATTATCTCAAGATTTTTATTATATATCTATATTATAATAATAGACTGACATGTATAATTATGTATCTATATATTCAATATTGAACATATAATATTAAAATTTACTTTTACAATAAAATGTCTCAACATTAAAAACAAACCTTAAAATATTATTAAAAATTTAATCATAATAAAAAATAATAGAAATAATCATTTTTTATTAGAAGTAGTAATAAATAAATTATTATTTAAATCAACTATTAAAGTCCTTTTAAATTTTAAAGTTCTTTTGATTTGAATTTGTTTAAGTCCCTTATAAAATAAAATGCAAAAAACTGGTTTAGCTTCTTTTATTAAAAAATCTCATCGTTACGCCTTAGAATTCATTTTGTCCCTACATTCTTCCAAATGCGAAACTAGATTATCAATTGTGTCAATGAAAGAAAGATTACAAATTAAGTTAGATTAAGTAAATTCAAGATGCCATGTTCAATCGTTTACTAATTCAGTACATTTGATAAGCAGCCCGCATTATTTGTCAACAATGTCGTATCCAATTTTGCCGTGATCAAATGATTACATGTTAAGGAAGGAGAATTTGTTTACTCCGAAAAATTTACGCATAATGGAAAATGCATTCATTCTAAATTTGCGCATTATTGGAAAGTGCATTAATCTGAATTTAAATGCTATTTCGGAGAAGCGCTTTCGTTCAAGACTTTTGATTGCTATGAAACGCATTCGGTTGTGTTGTTTAAAAACACGGAAATTTTTATTCGATCTCAAAGGCTAAGTTCAAAATTTCAGTAAATCTTGGGTTCGACAATATGCTAATAATGAAAATTAAAAGCCTCTAAGATTATGAGGTATCACATTTGAAATTAAATTTACACTTTTTACAAAATTATGATATTATCTATGGAGATTGCAATATGATTTTCGATCTGAGTATGATAAATCGTGCCAATAACGTCAGGATGAAATAAATAAATGTCTATTGCGAAGGTAAGTGAATAAAATGCTCGAGTTTTTGTTGTGTCAGTTGAGTTTCGACAATTCGGATTTTCTAGATAATTGCAAATCGCCGGTCATCAATAAACATCGGACAAGAGTGAATGAATAGATAAATTATGCGATCTCATCTCACCTTGGGCGACCAGGTCGACGTCCACTTGGCGTCGCGATTCTGGCGGGGGGCAAGTGATTTCCGTGGTTTACCAATTCTTTATCGATCACATGTAACGGGGGCTTAATTATAAAACCATTATTGTGCATATTCTTCTGATTAAAGATCTCATTTTCGCTAAAATATGACACACGTATATGATAGTCACGATTAAATTTTATTGGTCGGAAAAAACTTCCAAATCAGGAAGCAGATAAATTGAAGAAATGAAAGGAACTCACGCTTCGGCATCCAGTTCGGTATATCCTGCAAAATATTTTTTTGAATTTCTGTTGACATGATACATGCGCGTCGTAGGATCATAATATGGACCACGTTGTTTCCTTGCCCATATTAACAATCCGTTCCTGATAAAGTTGTCAACAAAGGTAAATTACAGACAATCCCCCAAAAAAAATCCAAATAAATTTGCATAAATGGATCATGATTAAAAATAATTTGAATTTATCGATGTGCAATAAAAAAAAAAAACCAGACCTACCAATCTTATTATTTTCCAAAATGAGTACAAACCAAAATAAGGGTTAGAGAAGTTGAGTCAGGAGGACAGTTCAATATATTTTTTATTGTGGAAAAAAATATATGTGTATATATAAATATATACATATGGAAATAAAAAAAAATAAAAAAAAATAAATACCAGCAGTTGCTTGAATTGCAGCTTTTCTTTTGAGGTCTTTCTTGGTTTCTAGTGGTTTTTTTTTTGGACAGGTTAGAACACAAGAGATGAAGCCACCTGCCAAATACCAAGGAGAATATTTTCACAGCCCTAAAATCTCGTGAGAAAAAAATCACCGAAATATTACCTTGTGTCAAATTTTTCGAAAACTGAATATTCGAGTTTGCTGCGCTACTCTTTGTTGCATTTTGCTTGGACACCTCATTTGCTATGGTATTGGTTATCATATTGGCGCGTTTTCGAAAAAAAGACAATTATAAAGTTTTCGTTAGTGCCAGTTTCTGGTTTGTTTACTGTCTGAGTAAGTTGACAATCCTTATAATGAATATTATACACGTATGCAAACTCTAACTATTTAAGGCATGGTTGCGTCACATTACTGCATTACACTGCCATAGAAGTTCATACAACATTTTTTTCTTCTAGATCAGAAAAAAATTTTTTTTCACTCGTGGCATTCTTATACATAATAAGACGGCGAAGTTTTTCTCGTTCTAAAGTAAAGTAACACCAAGTTTCCAATTATAGAGGCAAAAAATGTCTTTCTCAAAAGTTACTAATCCCGTTCTTTCAGAACATGAAACACCTGACGATAATGTCGAAGAAAAGTCAGAAAACAGTGAAAAGTTAACAAAAGAGAGTACGATCGCGGAACAAAAACCGGAGGAGGAAAATAGTAGCAAAGATCCTGATCCTGTAACTGAGTCTTCCGAGATCAGTAATTTATCAACATGGCAGGCTGTATGGAGCAATGAGGCACAGACGTATTATTATTGGAACACGGTCACCAACGAAACAAAGTGGGAGGTCCCTCAGGAAATGTATACACTGTATGACGGATCTATGAATAGTAATTCGATAGTATCAACAGATCAAGCCGCAAGTGCTGTTGACGGTGCCGAGTATACACAAGAGTACTATCAATATTATTATGCGCAATACGGATATTATCCGGAAGGATATTACTACGGATACGACCCTGCCACTTACACTTCAACCGAAACTCCCTCAGAACCGCCAAACCCTCTGGAATCAATCCTTGATAAAATAGATAATGAGGTTAAGTCGAAGCTTGATGGCAATTCCTCTTCTTCGTCCACCTCCCAGAAAAATACATCAACCCAACAAGAAACATCCACCACATCCTCAAGTACCTACGATCAGGACACACATGTGGAAGACTCCGAATATTATTCTTTTCTTGCCCAACACGGCGAAAGCGGGGACGACTACAAGGTAACCGCCAGATTCAACGCTCGAACCGGAAAGTTTCAGCGTGACCCGACCTTGACACCAGAAAAATTTTCGGCTGATTCTAAGGCGATTCGGCAAATGTCATATTTTTTTGATTACGACAAGTTCGCAGAACAAAGATCAAAGAAGACGAAGTTGGATGATTCCTCGGGGGAAATAAAGGAGAATAAGAAATTGAACAAAAAGGACATAGAATTTTTTAAGCAAAAGAAGAAAGAGAAAAAAGAAATGAAGAAAAAAGCATGGTTGATGGGAGGTGAATAGAAAAAAAAATTCCGTTTAGGCGGAAACCTATTTGAAATTAGTGACTCTACCTTTTTATTTTATTATATTAACGTAGTGAAAAATTAGCATTTATTATATAAACTGCGCAGGCTTGTTAGTTGTATTGTGATCCCTGTTTTTTTTTTTTCTTCTTCCTCCTCCTTCCTTTCTTTAAATACGTATATATCCTTTCTATTATATGATTATTGATCTTGCGAAACAAATGAGAATTGTTTTTTTCCTGGATTCATTTGATAAAATAAATTTAAATCATTTAAATATACAATTCAATAAGTGGAAATTGAATTTATTGACGTGATCCTCTGAAATCTGTGATTTTGTGAAGGGATGATCATGAATGAGGGATTTATGGTTGCGAACCTGTTTCGTCGCCAAAAAACAGCTCCCAAAACCCTTCTGAATTTACATAGTCATGGTACACAAGATTAACCAACCACCAACTATCCCCTATGTCCTTCAGCAATTTCCGCGAAGGCGAACCTTCGGGATATAAATGTTCCCAATCTGCCCATAATGCAAATGCCTCTACCTGTTCAAATAGAATTGAATAAACGAACCGGTCGTAAGAAATATAATAAAAGAGGGTGACAATATTACTACTGATGTGAAGCTGAAGCATGTATCCATCATACCTTCCACGCATCGAATGATACTTTCTCGATTATCGTTGGCTGAACGATTTCTTTGCCGGGAAAAACTCCCCATGTCACCGCAGATGGTGTTTCTTCTTTTACATTGGTAGAAAATTCATCCTACACAGCACGGGAGGTAATAATCAAACAAACAAACGCATTTTATCCTTGGTCACGCAAACTGTGATAAACTTACATTTCTCTTCGCCGCGTAATAAGTCACCCAGCAATTCTTACTTATTCTTTGAGCCAACCTTTCAAACATCTCCGGGCTTACAAAGAACTCTACCAAGGCCTTCTGATACACGTAACCACCCTTGGGACCCCATCCGAAATCAGGATCCGTGCTTTTCACACCGTTGACGGCTGGTTGTGAGCTCACCGTCAGGTAACCAAGCTCATTTAATTTAATAAGCTTTGATCGGATTGCGTCGGTTTCCTTCAACAACGGTTCTTCAGACCATGGTAACATTGGAATTTCACATAGAATGTAAGATTTGAAAATTTGAACCACATCAATTATACTCTCCGGTTTTTTCCAGTATCCAAGAGCCAGATCCGGCTTATCGATTGAAAAGAAGATGGAAATTTATCGTTAATAGTTAAGAAGAGACGACTTTTTTTTTCTAATAATTAAATTGTCTGATGCCTACGGGAACTCTCAAGGATCTTCCATGACTGTCTATGTCGCCAAACGCTGGGAAAAGAGGGTGAAAAAGGAGAATGCCAACGATGAGCAAGCCGAAGAATCAAAAGAAAAAGGGTGAATCAAAAGGATCAATATTTACCGGGCGACCTGGGATCACCCCAACGTCCATTCGGAAAGTTGTCCCAGTCTTCGGATCTTCCTAAATAGTCTGCACCCTGTTCTTCCCATATGACAGGTTTTGCCGCAGGAAGTGAACCGTCTGGTTCCTGTTGGATTGGATGGTATCATTTCTGGGGGGTATGAATCATTCACGAATTATGGTTTCCGGGTACCTACCCGTCTAATGATCTCGTTCGTGACGGACCTACGCCTACTCATAAGTTGCAAATCATCTCTTTCCTCTTCAGTCTTTACGAATTTCAACTTCTCCAATATCAGACGAACAGATTTTTCCAAGTTCAATGTGCACAGATGAAATCCTAGCACGTTATGATGTTTTTGAAGCTCAGATATAATAGAGGTGGCGAGCGAGACACCATATTCCTTGACGGCTTGATCATCATGCTACCGGAAGAAAAAAATATCTGTAACCAAATTCTTTATGTTTTGCCTTTAAAAAAGAAATGCAGATGGGTTTACCTGGATGGGTTCCAAATCATTTATTATGTCGACGGGCACATCTACCTTGCAAAGATTTGTGATTCTTCGAAAGCTGTTATAACCCTGAATTGGCATGACACATGGAATGATAGGCACGGTTATGCCTGATGGTTCAGAGTAATCTAATGAGACTTTATCAAGTGAGAACCAAAGCATTTTATTTATTTATTTTTTTTATTACCAATCTTGCGACATTTCTTTTCCCATTCTACAAATGAATCGATGTTGTAGAATAGTTGAGAGATGATAAAGTTCGCTCCTGCGTCCACCTTTTCCTTAAGATGTATTAAATCCTGTTCCTTGTCATTGGAATCAGGATGTCCTTCGGGATATCCTGCGAATGTAATCCAGGATAACATGAACGTTAAGAATAAAAAAAAAAATTATGGGAAATGAGGACTCTTACCTGCAACCCCAATGCAAAACCACTCTCCATACTTTTTCCGAATGTATCTTACCAAATCAATGGCGTGTGTAAATTCATCATCAGAGGATGTCCAGTATTCTTGACCCCGTGGGGGATCTATCATCAGCGAGTGAGGGCGCGCCGGTATCAAGAAATAAGAAAGTCGGAAAAACTGGTGAACCTCGAGTATCAAAAAAAAAAAAAAGTTGTAGTGAACTTACCACCGCGCAACGCAAGTATATTTTGGATACCAGCATTCTTGGCCTCCTGTGCATGAGTGAGCAATCATCAAGAGAATTTATGATCAGCAAAACATTGAACGTGTGAAGAGGTGTGTCAACGAATGCATCATATTCTCAACTCTCGGATCGCGCACATACACGACGGATCCAATTTTCAACAAATATCACGTGCCTGAAAGTAAAAAATGCATCACTTGGGGTCAGAAGAAAACTCACCGTCAATGCATCTTCCAATACTCCCTTGGCAATATTCGTGCAGGTTAGGTGCATACAGGTTTCTAGTCCGTAAAGTCCTTGGGCTATAACGCACATTTCTAATGTTCGGTCCACGGTGCTGCCACCCGTGCCCCATGTAAAAGAAACGAACAGAGGATCCAAAAGAGACATGCGCCTGAGTCTGTCATAGAGGTTTGATAGACCCTGTAGTGTAAGGCAAATGCTCGGTTAGCATTAGGGGAATGCTGGGTAACCGTCATAAATGTAACACCCACTTCGTCGGTCTTTGGTGGAAAGTATTCAAAGGAATAAAAAGGCTTGTTCGGTTCGAGGGCGTTTATTTTATCTGTTATCTTCATGATTCCGACTTGATGGGTAAAAGATACGATGATGATTATTTTTTATTTCTTTCCCCGTTGACGAGATTTTAGAGATTTGATCAAGACACATAATACAATCATTTCTTTATCACGTGATCAAGAATGTTCTAATTCCACTTTTATCACGTGTCGCTTTCTGTTCGCAATTTAAGAAGGAAAAAAAATCAAAATCAAAATCAAAATCAAACAAAGCACTTTTCATTCATTTGCTTATTACCAAACAGCGAGTGTTGTATTCGAGAAGAATTTTAAGGACATAATACGTACATCGGTGATATTATTATAATTTATTGTGACAAAAGGAGAAATCATAATTTCGTTGTAATAAGTTAAATAAAGACTACTTTATAATATAAATTATACTGTACAGGTTTATATAGTCGGGAAGATTTTCTTAAAAAAAAAAAAAAAAAAAAAAAAGGTTCAATCGAAAGACTTGTAGTAGTAGTAGTAGTAGTAGTATGAATTATATTGTGTTACCACGGGCTATTCTTTTCGAGAACCCTGGTGGTTTATTTTTTGTTGTTTTTTTTTTGTTGTGGTGGGAGGGAGGTTTATGCGCTTGATGTTTATGTATAAAAAAATAAAATAAAATAATTATCATACAATGTATTCACAAGTAGTGGGGAATTTAAGCATAATTTTTGAATCGATCAAATTATAATTGCTTAATAATGAAGTTCAAGGAATCCCTTCGACTGCCAAGATACATGACAGAATTAAAAAAAAAAAAAAATAGATTCAATCGTTCGGTCACAGATGTGTATCGATCTCTATATATGTGTATAAAGAAAACTTATTTAAACGACGCCGATTCAAACTCTATGAAACCGGCGTTTCTCCACCTCTCTTCCATCGTACTGATTTCGGTCGACGGCAATTTCATGCACAACGACACTAATGTTTTCCATCGCTCTTTTTTCTAGATGAGAATGTTTCCCGAGAAAATGTCAAGATCCATGGTCGCATTCGGTCCACCGGCCGTCTCAGTGTCAACATAATGTTGTTCGAAGGTGCCATTTGAAGGAATGATTATGTCCTCATCCTCACCCGACAGTGCCGACTGCATCATTTGCTCGTCGGGCCAAGCGTACACGAATAACTGTTGATAATGTGAAGACCTCGTTGACGGTGTGGGCGTCGGGGTTACACTGCTAACGCCGCCGGCCGATGACGGTTGTGACGTGGCGGTTGACAATATTGACGAGGTGGTGTGCGATCGGAACCGTGAGTGGGCTTTACTTGATGCTATTGCGTCCGCCGAAGCGGTACTCGATTGTTTGAATGAGTTGGCATTGGACGGAGGGGGACCGGACGCCATTGTCATGATCAATTGTGCATCGTTAGAGGAGGCGATCGAACCAACGGGACTTTTTATCAATCCATAACCCTGAGATTGAGGATGAACCTCTCCGCCAAGCTGTGCGTGTAAGATTTGTTGCTCGTCACTCGAAAATCTCCTCTGCCTCTTTGGCATCACGTGTTGCCTCGCATTAAATGTGAATTGGGCATTCGTGGGTGCGGACGTTGATAATATCGAGACGGAATTTGGTGAATTTCCGAGGTGCGAGCGTGAAGTCATCGAATTGGCCTGCGAAACCCTCTTTCCCATGACGCTCATGCTTGCACCGGCCCCAAGTTGCACCGTCGTCCCCTTACCACCTTTCGACGAATTCTTGCCGGTCGTCGTAGCTCCACCGCGATTACGTTTTTTGATCACGTCCGTCTTTAAGCTCAACGGTCTCACCACCCCATGTAACTTTAGGAACAAACCGCACGCGTTGCACAAAGGCTGACCCTCGGGATTGCGACGCCACAGGGGGGTTGTCTGCGTATGACAGTTGGTGCACGTTGTCGGCATCGCGCTTTTGGACGACGAACCACCACTACCACCGTTATTGCTAACGCCGTTTAGGCCATCCTTATGCATCGACGGCGAAGACGGTGTTGATGATGACGACGGTGGTAATGATGACGATGAATTATTAATATTAATATTATTACTATTGTTATTGTTATTGGATGCGGATTTTGATGAGTCGCTCGTTGTCACGTTCGTTAACGATGCACGCGAAGATGATCTAGGCCTCTTGGCTGCCATTGTATGTGAAGAAGTGCTCAGGTCGGCGATCTCGCCATCGGCCAATGACGGTGAAGTCACCGGGGAATTGTTCTTATTTGCCATACCATTTGATCCATTGCCAGTGGGTGATGAACAGCCGATTGATTGTCTTTTTATCTTTGCATTACTATTAATGTTATTAATGCTCACCGTCTCAACATCCCCATTATTGCCAATGCTGGCATCGTCATCGTCACCATCTCTGTTACCGCAATTCCTTACCCAATCGCCCACGGATGGTGATTGACCATATTCCAATGTTACTTTATCCTTACTTCCATCTGCCGGCATCAAGTCATAGGACGGAAGGTAAAGAATTTTGGACAGGTCGAATTGATTGCCGTTGGAATTGCTGAAATTGTAAAAATAACTTGTGCTGTCAACCGGCGACAGGGGTGTACCGTTTGCTGATTGGTGGTGGTATTGTATTGGATTTGTGCTGTTATTGTTCATCCCGTCTGAATTGGCGAGTTCTCCGAAATTTTGATATGGATATGCTGGGGCCGAAGAGCTTATCGATGAATAGTTGAAATAGGGATTGAATGCGTATTGACTTGGCGAGGTTGTCGTGACGGATGAGGACACGGAATCCACATCTGAATCGTCGG